GGCAATGTTTACAGCAGAGGTAATAAAATTGTGCCCACTACTATGACTTTCCTTTTACTTCACATCATCAATGAATGATTTTGGATCACTAAACAACTGCATTACACGTGCAACCTGAAAAACTGAAACTAGAAATGGTAACACATCATTATGGTCACAAAGATCTCAACCAGTGGAGACTACAGGGATGAGTTATTGTCAGCAGTGGTGGAAAAAGGGCTAAAATGTCCTTCAGCCATGACTTCCCTAGAAATGTGTACATCACACAGGCTACTTTCTTTCACTGTAACACTGTACTGAAGTAAAACACCCAGGTAATAAATATTCTACAGAACAGACAGTGACATCATCAATTTATCAAGAAATGTGTACCAACATTAGGTACAGATAACAAGGTTCAGACACAACAGAGAAACAACAAAGTAATAATCTGAATAAGCATCAGCACCTTGGTAGATAAGGATCATGATAATATAGTGTACTGTAGTTAGAAAGCCTATTAGACTGCTGACTTGAATTCACTGTTTTGATTTTGTTAACGGAGATGAATTTGCCGATAGCCGAAAGATGTTCGCATCGGCAATTAAGCAGCTTAAAAGTCAAGCCAAAGGGAACGTCTGTCACAAGCTAGCAATTCTTCCCGGCGATCTAAGCAAGCTAACAACATACTTCAGTAGATATAGCACAAGTGCTCGGTAGCAAGTATGTTATTCAGGTGGGGGAGCGAAGTGAACAAAAATCACCAATGCCACAACGATGGTGTGTCTGGTGGCATCATGTATGCAAACAACAGCAACTCTCGATACTGTCCTGTTCGTGCTTTTGAACTGTACCTTCCCAAAGCTAACCGACGCTGTGATGCTCTCTTCCAACGACCCCGTGTGTTAGTTTAAGCCAGCGGTACACCAATCACTGCTTCTTAGCAAAGCAGGGTTTAATAATTGTCATATCATGAGTGTCAGTCATTATCGTAATGAAGGTAGCATCAGGAGCTACGCGCGGGATACATCAATTGAACAAAAAAAAAAGAAATGGCAGAGACACTAGCATCTGCAACAACAACAAACACAACCACATCAAGCGCCAATGCCATCGGTTGCACAAATGCTCTTAACCAATCCGCGATAGAAAACGCTACCACAGCCAAGATACAGAGAGAACGCAGAGAAACTGACTGCTTGCTACCAACACGACCACCACCACAAGGTGATCAGTTAAACAGCGATCTACGTTTACAGCAATGCATCATTATGCCATGTTCGTCAGTCAGTTTATTTCATAAACAGAACGAGCATGCATCTAAATAATAGTTCTATTAAATGAAATATTATATCAAATATAGTTAATATTGCGCATGGGTGGTTTGAGTGTTCCACGTGTTTGTATGGGGTTTCTGTTCAATGTGATAAAATAAATAACACATGTTCGTGAGGGCAATATCATGATTTATAAATATTTTTAACTAAAAGCATGTGCAGGTTGTATGACTAAGTACTAGTACATAGGATTGTTAGGTCTACAGATGAACTAGAGTGAATAATAGAGAAAACAGTATTTTTTACAGTTTAAACTAAGGCACTATGTCATTAAGTGTTATATAAATTGGACAGAGCACAAAGTGATATGCTGCTCTATAGTTAATATTTAGTAATTCTGGTAACTATGACAACAAAGGATACTGTTTGATTTCAAGTCTCTGTGTATAATATTCTTGGCATGGAGATAGCTGTAAATATAATGAAAATAACATGTTATTTCCAGGACAGACATAAAATGTAGATCTGCTGATACTATAACCAGGGGATCATTGATTGCCAGTCATGGCTGATTCAAATTCTTAAACAAGCTAGGGCAGGAGTCATTCCAAAAATATGCATTAAATATTCTCCCAAAAATATGCATTAAATATTCTCCCAAAAATATGCATTAAATATTCTCCCAAAAATATGCATTAAATATTTAAGCAGATTTTCACAGATTAATTAAACCTAGAACAAATAAGCTTTTAGTTTACATAACTGAACACATCCTAGACTGAATCCAATCTTATAATGCATGTACCAAGAATTAGATCCAGTTCCAAAATGACAAAAAAGCTTGAATTTTTATGATGAATGATGTGTGCCATGATGTATAAACCTGTATTAAATTTGAACATGATCGGTCAAGGCATGTCATTCAGTAAGGCATTTTGTCATTTTGAATTTGATGTTCTTATACCCCTTATGGGCTGGGTATCAGCCGAATCCGGTAGTTTCCAAGATGTATGATGTGTATGTGATTAATTCAGACATGTCAAGATACAGACTGGGATGCACGCACAGATGGACCTGCACACACGCAATGTACAAAGGTCAATCTCTAAGAAGACATTTTCGGATTAAGTTCTAAGAGGGTCTAATTAATTTTCAAACAAAGCTGTATATAGGAGACCAGTGGTTTATAAGTACTACCGTAAAATCTGTATTAGAAGCCGCATCCCTAATAGAAGTCGCACCCATTTTTTTCGAATTATTGAGAACCAAAAATTCATCATTTCTCATATGTGTAGATGTTCTATTAGAAGCCGCATCCCCTCTGTTGCATTGTACTATTTTAATAGAAGCCGCGGTTTCTAATACAGATTTTACAGTAGTAACATACTTTGAACACCCCAAGCTATTGTCTGAGGTGTGAATTACCCACTGTGCTCAGACTGCGCTGGGTATGGCTTTCCACGAAGCACAGTCTCTTGAATGATCGATTCATTGTTTTGTGAATATTCTAATTTTAACAATCGAAAACAACCATATATTTTGATACTTTATATATACTGAGAAGCTCAACACAATTCATAAGCCGGCAAGTCTTTCAATAATGGCATATTGACATTATTATTCGTGAATATCGCACTTAGATTTGAGGAACTCTATCAGGGATCGCAACTTGGAACACTTCTAACAACCTTGATCAGTTGACCCCCTTCTATTCGTCATGTGTTTTAGAAAGATAATTTTGTTTTCATTTATTGGATAGCTCAAACCTTGTTGTAGTTGGTGGATCAGTTTATTGTGCTTGTTTTATTATATTATATACAGTATACATATTATATTTAGGCATTCACTTTTTGCGTCAAAATAAAGATGGCCTCTAGTTGACTCATTGCCATTCGAATTTAATTACGGGCTCCAATTTTGTTTTTGATTTACTGAACTTACTCGACGCGTTGTTAGCGGGTTGGCCCCATTATAGTAAGAAAACAACATTCAACCATAATATTTTTGTTTTTCATGTGAATAGATATGTTGAATGTTCATATTTTGATAAATTACGGTGATTTGTTCTGTTCTGTTTGCAGTTTGTGATTGCAGTGCTTAAGTTAGTGTACGCTCAGCTTCCTGATTAATTGTCCAAAGTGTGAACTGTTAATTTACCCACAACCAGCCCTGGGGCAATAGACTGCCAAGCGTTTCCAGACCGGGATAGAGAGACTGTGCCCCAAGTGACAATAATTGTGCTGTGTAAATAGAAAGATAAATAACATATTGTGAATGTACCAGCAGTGCAGAAAACAAAGTGCAAGGTACATACACCAATATTAGTATAGGATACATCATAGTGACATGTGTTTTAACAGTCAGTACCCCAGACATCTGCAGCTCTGCTAACTCATTGTCATAATTACACAACATTTCATGTACTTGGCACTTGGGTAGAAATGCAATGATGAAGTAGGGGGGTGCATAAGCAATTTCCAGTGGCTTTTTAAATCACAAATTTATTTTAGTCATAATATGGCCAAGTTGATCATGAGTATGTAATCGGTTATCTTTATTACATTGCAGGTAGAAATAAATAAAGCTCTAGAAAAGACTTATCAATTTATATTTATTTACCCAACTAAAAAAAGCCATGTGCACAAATTTATCTTCAAGAAAACAAAATTTATCCAATTCGGAGCAATTTTTGGTCAAAACATAGCAACCCCCTACCATGATAGACTTGCAGTCCCTTGTGTAGTTGACAACCATGTACATTTCAAACATTACACAACCTCCTACCCTGAGATACTTACTCCATCCCTTGTGCAGTCTGTCTGCCCACATCAATGACCTCACGCATTTCAAACTTGACTTCCTTGACATGGAGATGTTTATAAAGACTAGATCCTTCACACCATTGTGTTACAATTGCTAACTCAGGTTTAGACGTACATCCCATAAATAATAAAATATTGGCATGTCTCGTTTTCCTAAAAAAACAAGTAATTTAGACTTGGTGACAATTATTTAATATGTTATTTCGTCGTTAAGTGAAAAGTTACCCTCATCTGCTAAAAGGTACAGGTTGTCTAATTAAAATAATATAATATGAGGTTATTACGAGAATACCTCAAAGTACGCATGAAGACAGTACAGCTGGAGTATCGACCGACGCGCAGCGAAAGGCTATGTCTATGAGTGCATACTTTGAGGTATTCTCGTAATAACCTTATTATTATACATCTTTTCCTTCCAAAAATACACCATGGGAATGCCGAAATCTAAATGTTTTGAACAGAATCAGCAAACTTCTTTGTGTGGAGTCCGGTCAAACCCTGATGGCAGCCATGTTTGTTTTTATTATTAGAGCACGCTTAGGTGCATAATCACTCCATATTTGGAATTCGCATTATCTAATATGGTAGGATGAAAATACCCCGTAAAATACCGCAAAATTATGGCACGTTGTAACTTATGGCGTTACAATGACAGATGTATAATAATTAAAATTATTATTATTTTTTTGCACAGAATAATTATTAAACTAAAATGAAGGCATTCTATTCATGGACAGCATTAAAATTTTCCCCAACACCCTAGCTTATAACTATTTGTGTTATAACAGACTCCCAAGTCTATGTGTATACAAAGTACAACAGTATCTACCCTATTCTGATTTTCTTTTCACTTAGCATTTTACTTTTTTCTGGCACCTGTTTTTCGTGATCACTGACACATATTCAAGATGATAGCATAACTATTACAACTTTCTAGATTGAACAAGTCATTGTTAATGACATAGTCCCTGTTGCAATTAGGGGAATTATCATTCATGACTAAGATAAAGTAATTTGGTCAAAAAGCAAAATGGCAAAATTGAACTGTTATGAACATGTACATGCATAATAATCCAATGGAATATGCAAATCACAGGTCATGTGACCTTGTAAATTGTTTCTGAATGAATTAGTAGTGTATGGTCAGTAGTTAAAAGTGAATAGTAGGCTAATCTGGTATCAACAAAAATCAGATTTATTACACAACTTCTAAAGTCTCACAAACTTTACATTTTGATTTGATATTTATGCAATTTTTGTTCTCAAACTCAAGTAACGCGCACGTCTCAAGTACAGTAAGCGCGTGCTAGCTTATTTGTGAGATGTTACCCTATTGGCTGATGTAGCTCTACTGCACAGTTAAATATAACATTTTTAGCAAAAATATTCACTCAAATTAGAGAATTGATGGTATCATTACGAAAAGTACAAATCTGACTGAGGTTCACCCAAGGTGTCTACATATAAAATATTGAAGCACTCAGATTAGTTGTTTTCAAAAAGTTGAAAATAGCTATTTTTACCCAAAAAATTCACGAAAACTAGATAATTGAAGGGTGAGATATCTAAATGAACAAAGCAGACTTTCCATTTTCAAAAAGTCAAATTCACTGATGTACATCTGAACCACGCAATTGAAATCTACAAACATTACTCATAAAACTGCTTGTTCTAATCCTTGAAGTGTCAATTACTTACCTAAGAACAGCTACTTCATTCTTGAACGCTTGTAACTGTGACGGAGTTGGGTCTGTTACATTCAACTTTTTGACTGCTACAGCACCTATGAATAATGGATGAGATTCATTAGTAATCAAAGTGGAACACTGTTATATAGTTTCATGTTTTATTAAGGATATACCTGTACTGGTTGTACTATTAAGGATGTACCTGCACTGGTTGTACTATATTAAGCATGTACCTGCACTGATTGTACTATTAAGCATGTACCTGCACTAGTTGTACTATTAACCATGTACCTGTATTGGTTGTACTATTAACCATGTATTTGTGCTTGTTGTACTATTAAGATTGTACCTGCATTGGTTGTACTATTAAGAATGTACCTGCATTGGTTGTACTATTAAGCATGTACCTGTATTGGTTGTACTATTAAGCATGTACTTGCACTGATTGTACTATTAAGCATGTACTTACACTGGTTGTATTATCAAGCATGTACCTGTGCTTGTTGTACTATTAAGAATGTACCTGCATTGGTTGTACTATGAAGAATGTACCTGCATTGGTTGTACTATGAAGAATGTACCTGCACTGGTTGTACTATTAAGCATGTACCTGTATTGGTTGTACTATTAAGCATGTACCTGCACTGGTTGTACTATTAAGCATGTACCTGCACTGGTTGTACTATTAAGCATGTACCTGCACTGGTTGTACTATTAAGCATGTACCTGCACTGGTTGTACTATTAAGCATGTACCTGCATTGGTTGAATATAAATTTTAGACAAGAACATGTGACACTGCTTACCATGCCACTGTCCTCTGTATACTGTTCCAAATGACCCAGATCCAATCCTAGGACCGATAACTATTTCATCCGCTGGAATTTCCCAGTCATCGTTGGAATCTCGCCTATGTCTCTGTAATATTTAATTTCAAGTAATAAACATATATGTTATATATTCAGAAAAATAATGTAAAATTCATAAAACTGTTCAGACTAATAATTAACACATAAATTTTCCATGATGTAAAAATGCACAGATTCTAGCAGCAAAAATACAGTAATACATTTTCACACATTTATATACTTACAGTTCTTCTGCGTACTTCTGTTGAGGATGAAGGTGTTCTTGGCTTTGAGTGATGTCCAGTAGTTGGACTGGATACTGCTATTCTGGTAGGACTAGAGGTTGAATTTGGTAATGATGCACATCCCACCATGGAAGAATAGCCTGATGATGTAAAACTTGTTGATAGATTATTACCTAGCAACATAAAAATAACCAATGTATAGACATTTGTTAGTACATGGATTTGATTTTACCATAATAGTTCACGGAATGAAATAAATGTACATAAAGAAACCAGACAAATCATGTACACTGAAGACAAAGCCAGTTCCTTTGTCCACAGATAAATTACAGTGAGCCCTGTCCAAGCCTACCCAAAGCATTAGAATACATAAATGTAACAAACAGCCTCTTAGCTGAGATAGCTCTGAGTTAGCAAT